GTCCGTCCGTCCGTCCGTCCGTCCGTCCGTCCATCCATCCATCCATCGTCGTCGTCTGTCTGTCCGTCCGTCCGTCCGTCTATCTATCTATCTATCTATCTATCTATCTATCTCTCTGTCTGTCTGTCTGTCTGTCTGTCTGTCTATCTATCTATAAAATAAAATATTATTTACATAATACAATATTAGGTAATATTACAATATTATTATCATATACAATAATACACAAAAGAAGTAAACACAAGAAATACACACACACACACACACACAATAAAATATGGTGCGCTAACATTTTCATAGTAACTGTAATTTAATTACACATTTTTTCTCAGTAACTGTAATAGATTACATTTATTTTGCACTTAAATTATGCAATTCTGTTAATGTAACTAGTTACTCACCAGCACTGACAGTCTGTCTATCTGTCTGTCCGTCTATCTATCTGTCTATCTATATCCGTCCATCTATCCATCTATCTATCTGTCTATCCGTCTGTCCGTCTATCTATCTGTCTATCTATATCCGTCCATCCGTCCGTCCATCCTTCCATCTATCCATCTATCTATCTGTCTATCCGTCTGTCCGTCTATCTATCTGTCTGTCTATCTATATCCGTCCGTCCATCCGTCCATCTATCCATCTATCCATCTATCTATCTGTCTATCCGTCTGTCCGTCTATCTATCTGTCTATCTATATCTGTCCATCTGTCCATCCATCTATCTGTCTATCCGTCTGTCCGTCTATCTATCTGTCTATCTATATCTGTCCATCTGTCCATCCATCTATCTGTCTATCCGTCTGTCCGTCTATCTATCTGTCTATCTATATCTGTCCATCTGTCCATCCATCTATCTGTCTATCCGTCTGTCCGTCTATCTATCTGTCTATCTATATCTGTCCATCTGTCCATCCATCTATCTGTCTATCCGTCTGTCCGTCTATCTATCTGTCTATCTATATCTGTCCATCTGTCCATCCATCTATCTGTCTATCCGTCTGTCCGTCTATCTATCTGTCTATCTATATCTGTCCATCTGTCCATCCATCTATCTGTCTATCCGTCTGTCCGTCTATCTATCTGTCTATCTATATCTGTCCATCTGTCCATCCATCTATCTGTCTATCCGTCTGTCCGTCTATCTATCTGTCTATCTATATCTGTCCATCTGTCCATCCATCTATCTGTCTATCCGTCTGTCCGTCTATCTATCTGTCTATCTATATCTGTCCATCTGTCCGTCTATCTATCTGTCTATCTATATCCGTCCATCTGTCCATCCATCTATCCATCTATCCATCTCTCCATCTGTCTATCTGTCCGTCCGTCCGTCCATCCGTCCATCTATCTATCTATCTATCTATCTATCTATCTATCTATCTATCTATCTATCTATCTATCTATCCATCCGTCTATCCAGCTGTCTGTCCATCTATCCATCCATCTATCTATTCTTTCTTTCTTTCTTTATTTATTTCTAATTTTCAAGTGTTTGCTTTCTTATATAAACCATCCTGCTACATTCAAACATATTTATTTGTTTATGAATCCATTTTTCAGACTCTTGCTATTTTATATGAACATGCCTGCTGAAAGCATAATCATTTCAACTTAATTTAGCTGCATCTCAAGTGTTTCAGTGATTTATTCGTTTCACCTCCCTCCAAATAACATACAGTGGATAAATGACACACACTTAAAAAGAAAAACCATTTGTCATCCAGAGCTCAGTATTTTTAATTGCAGACCTTCTCTCATGCCATTTACAGTGGGCCGCTCAACATATCTGTCTCTCTTTCAGCCAGAATCTCTTTGAGTCTTTGTGTGTGTTTCCTCTGGGTTGATGGCTTGGCCTGTGTTGGTTTTTGTCTGGGTTTGTCGCTGCAGTGGGTGCTCTGGGCTCTCTCTGCTCCATCGAAACGGCCTGCAGGTTACACAGGAGTATATCGTGGGCAGGTAGATATAGCGCTCTAGAGTGTTTCTGTAGCTTCCTCTCTTCATTAACACTCAACAATCCAGAACAAACCAACTAATGAGCGCTGAACTCAGCCAGTCTCCACACAGCCTGGAGAACCAGCCATGGGATTGATTCCTGATGCAGGACGCTCCTCCTCCATTACCTCTTACCTCATAAGCTCTTTTCACTTCCCTTTGCTCTTTTTCTTGCGTCCATGAATTTGACATGAAAGGCATCTTTCTCCTGTAATGTATTCCCTTTATATTATGTGTGATTTCAGTTTGACCCACATAAAAGTATTCCTGTTAGAGCTGGACGATGTGGATAAAAAAGGTTTCGAAATGTTTCAGTCATTCTATATAAATCAAGAATATAGTTGTAGGTAGTTGAGATAACTTGTCTGTTAACTTGTTATTATTCAATATCAATATTTTAGGTTCAAAATGTACAAGGAAAAGTGTGTTTTTCCAGGTGTATATTTTGTCAAATCCACTTCTAGCTTTTTTGCTGTGGTGTGATAAACTAATTTATAAAGTAGAAACATTTTCATGTACTTTTGCAATCATAATAATAATACTTATTGTTATTAATATTATTATTAATATTATATCAGTTAATACATTTATTTTACAATATAGCAATATATAATAATAATAAACAGCAGTATTTGCAATATCAGTCAATAAAAATATGAATTGTATGAATTGCATGATATGGCAGTTAATTAATTGAATTAATCTCAGTGCATCAATATTGAAAGAATTTTGAAGGCTAATAACAAAGCATATTTTCTTAATTAAAACATAATTTTAAGTATTGTAATAATTACAGAACAAATACATAAATAATATTTAGATATTAAAATGTATATTAAATATTCTTAAATAGCTATAGCTATATCCTTCAGTCGTTCTTTCTATTACTAGTCAGATGTAGCTAATATTTTAAATAATAATTGAATAAAATTGAATTTATATTATTATTATCAATTAATTTAATATTTTTATGTATTTGCATCAATATAACAATTTATATTAATAAACAGCAATATTTACCTTCATATTAGGGCTGTCAGTTTATTAAAAAAATCAACTGAATTTTAGTTCTACATTTGATCATAATCATAATTATATGATATTTGAAGAATTTTGAAGGATAATACAGCAGATAATTAAAAAGAAAATTTTAAGGACGTTCAGAACAAATATGTAAATATTTGAATGTATATTAAATATTCTCAAAGGGCTGGAAAATGTTTTTAGCTAGATGTTTAGATGTCATCGTTATTTTGGCACATATTTCAGAAAGAGACTTTAACTGTGTATGTGTGCTTCAGTTTCTTTTGTCACTCGTAGGACTCAGCACTAGCACACAGACCTCAGATCTAACACATATGGACGTCAACTCCCATTTCCATTTCATCGGGTCTCTAAAAGCAGCATGTTTTGTAAAGCCTTTCAGTGTCAAATCCTGCTTCATGTGTCTGACTCGATCAGCTTGTGTGTGTTTGTGATCGGAGTGTGTTTGATCCTCAGATGCCTCTGCATGCATTAGAGTCACTGTAGGAGCGTTTCTAGTCTAATCGCAGATATGGTAGATGCAGCTCAAGGCTCCTCTGCTCGTGGATCTAATACAGTGTGTTGTGACGGCATCTCGTTTATGGTTTTCATGCTGTCATCCAACAGATTCGGTTGTGTTGGAGGAAGGTGGACAGAGCAAAGCGACTGTATCAGCAGCTGAGTCCAAAGAGCTGGAGGAGACTGAACCCATCTTCATGAGCGCCGCTACAACACCAGCCGGCTTACTGAGCAGAGTGAGGGAACCTATACCAAACACTATCAACACACTCAACTATAACCAGTGTTGGGGAAAGTTACTTTTAAAAGTGATGCATTACAATATTGCGTTACTCCATGACAAAGTAACTAATTACTATAACTTTTTATGGAAAGTAATGCATTACATTACTTTTGCGTTATTTTTTGTCGCCTGGGCTGGGCATGCATATTTATTTTTAATAACAAAAAAACCCAAAGGTTATTTCTTTGGCAACTGTAGAGGCCCTTTCACACCAAAAGTGAAATTAATAAACCTTGGGCTGAAGGAAGTGCCTCTGTGTCTGCACCTCACTCCCGATTTCTCTCAACACAGCGACAGAAGACGTGTCAGTGAATAAATGGGAAAACAAAGCATTACTTATTTGAAAAAGTAACTCAGATATTTTCTTGTAAATTGTAAATGTAATGTGTTACTTTACTAGTTACTTGAAAAAAGTAATCTGGTTACATAACTCGCGTTACCCCCAGTATTGATAATAATGTAATCATTTTAACATATGTAATTTAATAATAATAATGATGATGATGATAATAATAATATATATTAAGTATGCCATTGTATAGGCATTAAACATATAGAGTACAGTATTTAAAAAAACATTAAAATATTAATAATGGAATAATGTATTATTATCATGTATAATTTATTA